GAACCCCAGTTGAGCTACCTTTTTGGGACCTTTACGAGTTTCATATTTCGCGGCACTACAAACATCATGGCAAATCACCAAATGTGGGAGCTCGCCAGAGCCAGTGCTCATCTTCTTTTTTTACGAATGGACTGCATGTGAAACTCGGAGTTGCAACACAGATCCCCCCCCCCCCCTCCCTCTCTCTCTCTTGTGCCCTTCGTAATTTATATTTTTTCAATTGTATTTGTCTCACAAGTTCTACACCAGTCACACAGATCATACTATAAAGACTGGTTGGTATGCTGAATTAATCCCTTCCGCGCTGAGACCTTTCCAACGGTGTGTCGATTGTCGCGAGGGACCTATTTTGACGGAGTTACGAAAATTTGTATACTGATCTATGCCCTGCGATATACTGCACAAACCTCATGACGAATAGATGTCATTAGGCGTTTGCCATACAGGTCACATGATGTCTACAGACATCATTAGTACGAAAAGTGGAAAAGGGTTAATTTGCACCTTGAAGTGACCACAAGAATGGCGAACTGTCCTCATCTTTAGCTATAATTTAAGACAATTTAGTGCCATAAAATCTCACACTGTCAGGGTGGCAGCACCGGCGATCACTGGTGTGCACGGTCTACAAACCACCTTGCAGTGGTCAACTCTAGCAATCTGCTCCTGGACCAGTCACGTACGATGTGGGCCAGAGTTGACCACTGCCTAACTTTGCTGGCGATGATTTACCAACGGACTTTAGTACTCATTGCACTGGTTTACAATCATAATCACATTGCGCCGGGATAGCGGGAGAGGTTGCAAGATTACTGGCGATGTGAACTGACCCTAAATGGATTCATAACCACTGAGTAGTAAAATACCACTACTCCCTGATCATAACACAGTCCTTTTACGTGTTTCACCCGATAGTGCCTTATTTGGTATGCATGGTTTGAGCAGGGTTTGAACCTTAGCTGGTACGCTGTATTTGTGCTGTAGTTCATACACAATATTACAGTGCATATTCGCTGCCATATTGCCTATAAGGTTGGTGGCTATAGCAATGTTAACTTCGACAAGCAGCAGAGGTGAGAATGACAGGCGAAGGTACCTAACAGTAATATACCGGCTATAGTCATCAGTTTCTCAACTTCATTTTCACTTGCCATAACTAAGTGTACACAGTGACAGTCACCGCGTATACCGTAAAGTCCGCTGCAAACGCCCACCCCCTTTTTTGCAAGATCTGCTGGCCTGCACCGCACTGACCCCATGCACTGACACCATGCACTGATCCCATGCACTGACTCCATGCACTGACTCCATGCACTGACTCCATGCGCAGAATGGCGTGCTTTCTAATTCTTTTCTGGCGGCAGGCAGAAGGAACTCTCTTCCAGCTGACTGTCGACAGGCCCAGTCTCTTGCACGCCTTCATAAACATGGTTAAACTTCACCTAGGCGGTTGCCAGTAAAAAGGCAGTCGCCTGTTGGGACCCCCCCCCCCCAGTAAAATAATTAAAAAACGACTACTACTACTACTAATAATTTAATTGTAACATTTGGAAAATGTGGGCACAAGTTATGCGATCGAGTCCACCAACCAAATGAGATTTTGAACAGTCAGACATACACAAACTGACAAGGAGTACTGTGAACTGGCTAATATTCGCGGCGGATTAATTTTCGCTATTTTCGCGAGAAAAGCGTAACGCGAATATTATCCAGCGTGAAATCAAACTTCAGGGCTCACAGCATCACACAAAAGCGTGGGCGCCATTTTGGACAGGCCGCTGTCACACGAGCCAGCCAGCATGCCAGAATCGTGTACATCCGATCAGGCAGATATCTCTGAAAACTTGAAAGTGGGGTGCATTCAAAATGTTCATTTGTACCAATGCTTTTGCCTAGGCCTCTGAAACTCTAGGAACATACTCTCAATACCCATTGTAAGGATTTGTCTGAGAATTTTTTGTTTTAATCGATACGGTTTGGCGTACATATGGAGCCAAAGTATCAGTTGGTGCAGGCGTAATTCTGATTTGGATTATTGTACTAAAATTGAAAAGTCTCTCGGAGAAGTTCTTCTAATTTTCCTACTGAACATTTTAAGCTATTGGCCATCACAATCGGGCCAGAGACGGGTACAAACGAACATTTCAAAGGCAACCCTATCTGCAGTGCAGCCGCGAGGAAGAACCGCGCGCGCTGCACTCGTTGTGAATGCGAAAACAACACTAGCAGCAAAGCAATTTTTTGAAATGTTTTTGCTACTCGCCTGGCGTTTCATCGCTGTGTCCTCCAGGAGTTATCATGGTTATGGCAGACCGAAGAAATACATGGCCAGCACAACGGCGAAGCCATTGGACTTGTTCTCTTGCAACGAAATGGAGTTGCAAATCAGATGATTCACAACTCCACATCGTCACCACTGCGCTACACGGCTCTTCACAGACCAGCCGTATATTTACGTTTACACAACAGGACTTCACGGCGGAGAAACTAAAACTAGAACACGACGTGAGTCATTGCTCCATGCCGTCAAGGAATGCTAGTCCTTTCCCTCTCCCGTCACCCGCGCCTGTGCATCAGCGGCGTAGCTGCCCGGTTGTAGATGTTGAACTCTTTCGTCAACGACTGCAGGATTCTGCTCGGGGCTACTTTTCGCAGGACTCCGTGTGCGGACAGTCTGAATGAAGCCTTCGGCCGACAAGGCCAACACTGCTCGCAAAATAATCCACTTGGAAGGAAACAAGAACTACCGAAATGAAATAGAGATAGTGAGACAGTCTTCGGCCATCTCCTTCACCATTCACGACTCAGTCCTTGTCACAGCAACTAAGCCCAAGCAAGTCAAAATCTCCTTGCGCGACTGCGTTCTACGCCTGCGCTTAGCGGTCACGCGAGTTCGTTTCTATGGTGATCAGATCCAAGATGTCCTCCCACGTAATCGAGGTTTTGGCATGGTTGCTGTGAGCCCTGAACTTCAACAGTGGGTGTATGTAGGTGGCCCCGGTGCTTCGCGAAATTTTGCCATCGTAAACTCGCTGGTTCTAAGAAATCGCGACAATTTAGCGACGCGAATATTGGGCGGTTTACAGTACTGAGACATTCCAAGGCATGAACGTCAGCTTGAGCACCGCTCGATAGCGCTAACCAAAGGCCTTCCAACTTGGAAGGTTCATGGATATTAGTGCTAATTCCAAAGAGAGAAAGGCAAGCGCCATCTTGTGTCCACATTTTCCATGTTACAATTTTTTCCCTGGCTCACCATCTGAGTTCTTACTACTAATACAAGGATGGCAATAAACAGAATCAGCTGAAGCGTCATTTCACCAAGGTTTTATAGAGATGTCACGACCAAATTCTAGAGAAAGTGGTCAATAAAACCCTTCGTGAAATGACGCTTCAGCTGGTTCTGTTTATTGCCATCCTTAAACTTTTGTTCAAACTACTGACAGTCGACAAATTTTCGACCCATTCAAATGTTGGCCTCCCTGGGCTAAAACACATTTTGGCTGCAACCCATTTCCGGCCTGTACTGCTGCTGCCTGTATACACTGTCACACTGAACCTTGCAAAACAAAATTTCGGCTGCAACTAATCTTCGGCCAAATATGATCAGGCCGAAAATAGCCACAAATAAATATGCTCCGAATATTTAGGGAATTACAATACTCATTGGGCGAAATATTGGCAAAGTTATTTATTTGGTGCAGCTGAGAGCCTGTTGCCGGAATGGCGGTGTTTTCAAGTGCAAGGAATACGCTGCAATGGAGTTTGGGAATTCTGAAGAAATTACACTACTACCTGATACTACTCAAAACCTTTACTAGTACTTGAAAGAACCCGAACTTAGACAGCAAAAGGATGCAAAGCAAAGCAATGGAGGAGCAAGAAGTACATGTAACAAGAAGTAACAAGAAAACACAATTTTAACTCCGAGCAACAATCCTGTCAGCAAGAATTACACGGAAGAGGTCATTCTTTACTACCAATACTACTGTCGTGGACATGGAAATCCAGTCGATTGGCCGCGGCCGGCGCCCTCAGCGCGTACAGAACGCTGCATGCAGTACACATGTTGATCCTATGCGAAATGCATGTGTGTACCGCATACCAAAGGCTGCATGGCCGGCGCCCTGGGGCCGCTAGACGTGCGACCGCATTTCCACGTCCATGACACTACACAGGTGTGAGTGTGTGTTCGTGTATATATTTATTTATTTATTCAACATCTTATGGCTTCCGATGGCAGCCAAAACGGGAAGATGTGGGTGATAACCAACCATGGTAAAAGAAGGAGAAGTTTATATACATGAAAAGGAAACAGCCAAAAAGTTATAATGGCCGAAGAGAGGCTTTCAACTTCACAGCTGTCCAAAATCATATCAGAACTCTCACTGGATGTTAACCTGTAGAGTGTGCTGCGTACAATGCTCAGCCAATCTACCCTATGTCTTTCAGCCTATCATACAATGGTCAGCCAATCTACCCGATGTCTTTCAGCCTATCATACAATGGTCAGCCAATCTACCCGATGTCTTTCAGCCTATCGTACAATGCTCAGCCAATCTACCCTATGTCTTTCGGCCTATCGTACAATGCTCAGCCAATCTACCTGATGTCTTTCAGCCTATCGTACAATGCTCAGCCAATCTACCCTATGTCTTTCAGCCTATCATGCAATGCTCAGCCAATCTACCCGATGTCTTTCGGCCTATCGTACAAGGTGACATGGGACCGCTTCACGGTAATCTTCGGGACAGCAGTGACCAGGACAGGTACAATGTACATGCCAGAACGTGTGGGGGACAGCCTGTCTTGGTATGCGTGCGTGCGTGCGTGCGTGCGTAAGGGCAATTCTGTCGGTAGACTCTCTCCCAAGAGGCCACCACCGCATGGTCTAGGAAGTTTCGTACTCATGTCGACCGCGGCGTCGGACCTAACCCCGGGCCGAGTCCGACCAGATACGACAAATTCAATACTATATACAGTACAGCACGAGTACGTACCTGGACATTTACCATTGCCATTGCGCCGACGAGAGAACTTGTCTGGCCGCGAGTATTCCGATAGGATGATCACCGGGTCACTGCCTCTTCTTGACTATCAGCAACACAGTGCAACACAGACTGTGCCTACTAGCACAATACCAGTTACAGCGGTACGTCTAGAAGGAGAGCAAAATCTCTTCCAACTCCAACACTCGCCTCAACTGACTACCCTCGAAGAAGAAGATTCACACCAGTTTAGTGGTCGTGAGCATGCGCACTCAGTGGCAACCGTACGAACTAACTAAAGCCTTTCCATACATGTACTACTGCTAGTACTGGTGCTCGATGTTTTCATTTCAGTTTGTTTGGTGACACCAAAATTAGTGTACCGCTAAAGACACTTGGTCGACACTTTGTTGACACGTTACCCAATTACCGGCCTACCAAGTGCCTCTGGCGACCGCTAACAGCAACTGTGGAGCGGTGCAGTGCCCTTTTTGGAGTAACGTGTACGTAGTGCCCGTGGATTATTGACCCCGCGACCCCATCTACAGTCCATTCAGAAAAAGATGGGCTCTGGCTCTGGCGAGCTCCCGTATTTGGCGATTTTTCGTGATTTCATTGTACACAGTGCAGTGCTGCGAAATTTGAACTTTGAAAAAGAGTCCAAAAAGGGTACCTGAACTGGGGTTCGAACCCCACAATGCACTGTTGCAGGCAGGGTCGAACGGCCTGGATTTTGATGGTTTTTTCCAATTCAATGCTTCTGGGGCAAAACCTGGCCGATATCCTATTCTTGTTATGGCTTGCTTTTTGGACAAAATAGACTTCAGAAACATAATTGGAAGAGGATTCCATAGGGGATTGCAGAAAAAAATTCTAGAAAAACTCAAAGTTTGACCCATTTATGGCCAAAAGCTAGAAGTTCATCTTTTTCTGAATGGACTGTACGTGGCTGTCCGCGCTACTTCTTGAATCATACTGACTGGCGTCCGGCATCGTCCCGAATTTGGCCGCAATCATATCTGCTCTCGGGAGCCATACAGGCTCCCTGACCTGCTCCTTCTCCGCCATCGTCAATTATGTACTGCGCATACACCCAGGCCAGGACTGAACTACTTACTTGCGGGAAGGAGTATTACAATTTTTGCAAGATGGAACTGGAAAACGACAAAGAAGAAGCGTGGGAATCTGGCGGCAATGGCTGGGATGTAAGTCCAACATTGCTGGTGCTAGAGTTGCCACTGCTTGCTTATAAGGGAATCATGTGTGTTGCCTTTTCACCTTTTCCCACGTCCTCCTCCGACTGTACTCCCAGGACTGAACTTACGGGAAGGAGTGCTTCCAAGATTGGAGACGAAGAAGAAGAAGCCGCAATCCGGCGGTAATGGCTGGGATGTAAGTCCAACATTGCGGGTGCTAGAGTTGCCACTGCTTGTTTATAAGGGATTCCTGTGTGTTGTCCTTTTTTGCCTTCTCCCAAGTTCTCCTCCGACTGTACTGGTGAACGCTCTCACATGTGTTGCCCTTTGCAGGCAGTAGAAGTGAGGGGTGGGGGGGGGGGCAGCACATCCTGGCATCTAGCGATGCTGGGTGGAACTAGGCAATCTGACCTTTCCTCTTACTCCAATGATGGTATGGATGGGGAGTTCTTGAACGTCCTCAGTGGTGTTAGAGTGAACTGTGCAACTCCGCAATCGCCGTGATAGCAGCGGACCAATGCCGATGTCGATGCTCCTTCCTTTTTCTCTGTCACAGGCTGCGTTCTTGAGAAGTAGCGTTATTTCTGCAGTCCAAGAAGGACGGCACAATGGTGAGTGGAACTTCGTGGGTGTGCAGCCTTGCTAGTTGAGTTGTAAATCAACCATTCTTCCTGTCTCTGACTTCTTCAATGCCCTCCTCAGTGTCCATGTCGCATTGAACTGGTCCGATGAGACTGCTATTGCACACATAGTGAGGGAACTCCCACACGGGAACTCGGAAGTACTGCTACAGTACAGGCCCTCATCAGACTATGTACATAGAACATCCAGTACAAAAATCACATAAAACCTAAAAGGCTACAATTTTCCACGCTTGCATTCAGACTATACATTTTACAAAACAAGTCGTGCAATATACATGCAACCTTTGACCGGAATTGACCCTGCACAATTGCCCAATGGGCCTGGGATGCATGAAAGCAGCGGACAGTCGTACCCGGGTACAAAGTTTGTACGACTGCCTGGTGAAAGTATGATAAATGCAGGAAAGTTGCCTTGTACAGGGGTTCGCACCCTGCCTGAAAGGATCGGGCAGCTTTTTAGGCTTCCCGCCAGGTTCTTGTTGTTGTCTTGGAAACTTCTATGTAAATGTGACTTATAGGCTGTTTTGTACCTAGTCTGAAGAGGGCCTAAGGTGGCAGTTGCTTACATGATGTGCGTGCGTCGTTGTCACAGTGTCAACTTTTAAGCCAGATGTACTCGGACCTACATGGAGTCTGAAAGTAGTCAACTGGCGAACTACAATTGAATTTTAGACTTTAGATGCGCTTGGTCAGCTCTTTCAGTTTCACAATGCATTGCACTCAGCATCGCTTCTCGGAATATCTTGTCAGGGTAGCTGTGGAACACATCCTCCCCAGTGGGGGACTCCGGGAACAGCAAATGTGTTGTTCATTTTAGGCTTGTTTTTATGGTACATACATGTACAAATCCCCATTGAAAAGACATAGTGCACACCAGAAACGGCAAATAGATGTTGGGAACCGCAAAGACCACCCTTCCTTGCCAAGTTCCCTGAGGGTGTGGAGAGGGGGGGGGGGGAGAGAGGGAGAGATGGGGGAGGAGGGACATTCCTGCACTGCTTAGCATGAATCACAGGAGCATTTTCAGAAATTGCTTGTACATTTGTACCAGTTGTAACCAACAAACGCATTCTCATTGAGCTTTGACTTAAGGACGTCAGCAAGGCGCTGTTGCATCGCTGACGTCTTGTCGTGATTCTGTGAATGATATTTTGTGCGAGTTTGCATCGTACGCAGCATCGCAGGTCGTGTCGCATTGCGCATCACACTGCAAACTGCTTCTGTGAATCCCACGTGAATGGGAACTTGATTCCAATGGGAATGTAATCCATTGCCAACAGGTGCATTCCCAAGCTGCGCATCGCACTGCAAAATTGCTCCTGTGCATGTGTCGTATCCATACGATTGGCACGTGCCTTTTAGGCCTCTACGGGACAAGTATGCCGTATTTAGTTGTTTTATTATTTATCTATCTCCCGTAAACGGGTTCATAATCGTCTTTATTTTATATTTCCCCACATGGCTCCCGCTCTTTATGCAACAGTTCGTACGCATATTTATTACGGTGATACGCTATTGCATGCGGGACCAGCAATCTCGTGGCCATGGACTTCCATGGCCGCAACTAGATACTATTGCGTTGACTTTCCTTCTCTCTCTCTCTCTCTCTCTCTCTCTCTCTCTCTCTCGCAACTTCGTCTTTACGGCAAGTCACGACTTTCTCCCCTCTCGTTTTGATAAGTATCGTTTGATATTATGTCTGACCGTAAGATGTGAGTCTCGATGTGAAAGTATAGGCGTGTGTGTGTGTGTGTGTGTGTGTGTGTGTGTGTGTATATGTGTGTAAGTATGTGAATGCGGGTGCTGTACATGTGAGGGCATGGCGCGGCGAGTGAGTGTGTCTAGGTGTGGTGTGACCCGAACATGTCTAAATATGTCTGATGTGCGAGTGTATGTGGTGTCGGTATGTTTAATAATGTAATTGTAGTTACGGCCACCACTGCACGGCCTGTAATGGGATAGTTGTAGATTAGTCATGTTTGGTGCCGCGGCTCCGGGGCCTAACTCCGGGCCGCCGGACTACGACATTTGGCGCAGTGAACAGGATCCGATACTATTGTGTGCTTTGTGTCTGTTGTCCTCAGTACTGTAGGGACCCGTCACACCCTGACGGTGCAACTACGGGCGGCACGGAACGCCGCCGCCCCGCATCGTAACTGTGATGGCCGACGGGCACTTAGAAAATTTCAAAATTTCAAGAGACGGCGGAACGCCGACAAGTCGCCACGGTCCCGGGCGGTTCGGGACACCGCCGCCCGAACCAAACAGAAGAAACATGCCTCGCCATCTCGCCAACGGCGTAACTGGGAGCGTGTGCTCAAACTCCGGGCGAAAAAGAAACAACAAAGACGACAGCAACACAACAACGGCAGTGGCGAAATGGTGGTCACCCCGGCCCCTCGGTCCGTCGACACCTCGGCCGTCGACTCTGGCTTGGAGGACCTTCAAGACTGGTCCACGACGGACATGTCCTTGGACGAATACTTCCGTCGGACCGAGGGAAACTGGCTGAGGTTCGAAGATCAGGATTGACCGTCATGAACCTCAGCCAGGTCGGTGAGTACCCATGCCTGCGTGAATGGTTGTCGTTTTCATATTTGGTGACTTGTTTCCTTTTTTTTGGCTATTTCTTTATTTATTTTTGTTGGGTATGGCATTCCTATGATGAGCGATTATGACGGAACGTACGACTCGTGGAATGGTGCAGCATTCCCGGTATGGGAGTACGCGCCGCCGCATGCGGCGCAACGACCCTGAGGGTGCCGCCGGGTACAATCGATTGCATCGTACCTGGTATTGGATAAGGGATTGTTGTGCTGTATGTTCGTACGGTAACGCAATGCATCGGGTTCTGGTAACATGGTGGAGCGAGCTGGAAATCGTCCTCAGTTGCCAGTTTCGTTCCACCGAGTGGTAGTGTTTTCTGTTCTTTGGTGTTGGCTCTCCGTCCGTTTCTTCTTCTTTTGCTATTCTTCTTGTTCTCTTTTGCTTCTAGAATGGCACAGAGAGGAACCCGTGCCCAAATGGCTGCCGCGGCGGCTGCCCCGCAACCTGCTGTTGCCGGTGGTCCCGTCGCCGGAAGAGCTCCGGCTCCTGCTGGTGCTGCTGCTGCTGCTGCTCCTCCTGGTGCTGCTGCTGCTCCTGCTGCTGCTGCTGCTCCTGCTGCTGCTCCTGCTGCTCCTGCTGCTCCTGCTGCTGCTGCCGCTCCTGCTGCTGCTGCTCCTGCTGCTGCTGCTCCTGCTGCTGCTGCTGCTCCTGCTGCTGCTGCCGCTCTTGCTGCTGCTGCTGCCGCTCCTCTTGCTGCCGTGCTCGCTCCTCCAGGTCCTCTTCCAGGTGTCGCGGCTCAACCGGCTCCGATGCCAGTG